TATGACTCTAATATCTAAATTTGAAAAGGAATATAAAGCTTGTAGACATGTAGGGACATACCAAAAATTAGACTGGTACAGAAGAAATCCACAAGTTAATGGAGAAAATTTTGCACAATAAGATTTACAATAATCCATCTTATTAATCATAGAATCCTTAAGATTGGAAGGGGCCTCTAGAGATCATCTAGTCCAACACACACAGGGTCACCTAGAGCACATGGCACAGGGCTGCGTCCATGCCGGTTTTAAAGATCTCCAGAGGAGCCTCCACCACCTCTCCGGGCAGCCTCTTCCAGGGCTCTGTCACCCTCACTGTTAAGAATTTTTTCCTCAAGTTCCTGTCGAACTTTTAGTGCTTCAGTTTGTGGCCATTTCCTCTAGTTCTATCCGTGGCCACCACTGAAGAGAAGGAGAGAGGCCAGCCCAATCCTCCTCACTCCCAAGGAGTTTATCGTTTATCATTYATCATTTTTATTTACCTATTCAAAAAACAGACATGCATAGCAATTTTGGTAGCTGTGAGGTTTAAGATGACAGATAAGCTGTTAAGAAAGCCCACACATATGCACACACATGCAACCAGAACGAGTGATCACTGAACAAGCTGCTAAGGAAAATGACAGATTTTTCAGTTTTTGCATCACCTTTCTGGRATACAGACAGACTGTGTAATATAATGGTCCCTTTATTCTCAAGTTTATCTCAGCTACTCAGATTTTCTGTTTCACAGTGGTATTTTTACTTTTTTAATTCAAAAGAGACACGCCTTGAGATGGCAAATGCATTTTTAGAAAACTTCAATCATTTAAAATGTTTTCCAGTTAATTTAAAATATGAAGTGAATTAACACAGGGAACTCTGAATTCTTCTTCTGGGATAACAACATAAAATATCCATACAACAAATTAAGAGTGAAAGATACACCGTTTTTAAAACTACAGCTAATATTTTTCTCCCTTTCAACTAGATGAGCACATTTTACTTTGCAGTCCACAAAAGCGGAGAACAGAAGCCAGCAGGTGAACTGAGTCTCAAAAAGTTGAGAACCCACAATCCTGGTATAAAATAATGGTGCACAATAAGCTTAAAAAATCTTGCATTTTCAGAAGTGTAGTGCATTGTGGCACGGTTTAACTCCCACTCGTGCAGAAGAACTATGTGTTGTTGTGTCTCCAACAGTGCAAGTTTTCATGCATTCCTCCATGATGGGAGGAGGGGAAACATGGGCAGTTCCATCTCCAGGTGAGGAAGAACTTCTTTCCTGTGAGGGTGACAGAGCCCTGGCACAGGCTGCCCAGGGAGGCTGTGGAGTCTCCTTCTCTGAAGATCTTCCAAACCCGGCTGGATGCCACCCTGTGCTCCATGCTCTGGGTGTCCCTGCTTAGACTAGGGTTTGTTGGACTAGATGAGCTCTAGAGGTCCTTTCCAACCTTACCCATTCTGTGATTGTGTGTCTAACTACCATGCCAAAGCAAGAGTAGCTGTTACCAAAGGCAGTAACTGCACATACACCTATCGCTGTGTGGACTTCCCATCATGAAACATTGTGGCCAAGATCAGCATCCAGGCAAGATTCTCATTCTCTGGCTTGAATGGCTAAATTGTTCCCTCTTAAAAGGGAGAAACATAAGTACAGACTAAAATATTTTCCCTGGACAATGCTGCTAATCCACAAAGCAGGACTTGCAGCACCACACCTAAATCACCTACTTGCAGCAAGGCAGCGGGGAGGCTACGCCAAAGCAGCACGAGAACATTGCTGCGGTATTTTCCACGGTGCAGGTTTCCAATAGCTATAATTTCACAGGAAAAAAAAAAGAGCAAATTCAAACATAAGGGAATGAGAGCTACCGTAACAAAGTCATCCTTCAGATAGGGCTTGAATGGCTGGTCAAAGCTGAAGGCCTGTGCTGTGATCCTGCCTTGCATGGACCTGCAATGGAAACAGAATCATTATGGTTGGAAAAGACCTTCAAGATGAAGTCCAGCCATAACCCATCACCTCCATGGCYGCTAAACCACCTCCCTAAGCACCTCTGCCTCAGCCACTGCTGCGCTGGAGTGCACAGGGCACCTCGTGCTTGCCCMGATGTACTCACTACACCACGTCCTCCTGCCTCGAGGAATAACTACACAATTTTCCTTCCTTCTGCCACCTCTTATCATCCCTTATCTCTCACCCCTTGCTACGCGGGGGCCCCGCTCCCACCCACCCCGCTCTGCCGCGGGCCGSGGTCTCTCCCTGCCCGCCTCCCACCACTTGAGGAGCCGCTCGCGGGTGTCGCGGCTGTCGAGGCTGGCGAAGCTTTTCYGGGGCAGCGCGCGGAAGGCGAAACGCGGCGCCTCCCCGGCCGACATCTTCCCGACGGCCGCGGTTGCCGCGGAAACGGCGCCGCGCGGGAGGTGGCGCCGCCCGAARCGGCCGCGACGCCCCCGAAACCGCCCGAAACCGCCATTTAACGTCGGCCCCCGTCCCCCAAACGGCCCCCTCGGCCGCCATCCCGGCTGTCTGCTTGCCCCGTGTCATGTTTCCAGGCTTTCTGCGGTGGAAAATTATCCAAGGAGAGGAGGCTATTGCTTAAGGGAGTTACTTACTTGTCACAGCCTGGTACATCAACCTATACCTTGTAAAACTAGGGGGATTTCCTGCCTTTTGCGCAAGGAGTTTAAACTCGTCGCATGTCTTCTACTCTTCCCTTGGCAATGCACCCTCTGGCCCTAAACCAGTCCTTGCTTTGCCCTAAAATGAAAAGAAATATATATATATTATATGTATATATAGTCCCATCACCTGCTGCTTCGGTTAAGCAGCTGACCAACCAACAGCAGATTTTTAAGTAACAAGCCCAGCTGTGCCCTCACTTTTCTTGTTCCTAATTAAAAACAACAACAGCAGCAAAAATAGCATTAATAGCATTTCATTTTAGTAGAAATTAGGACATAAATATGCAGAACCTAAATGGGCAAAAAAAGGCAAAAAAAAACCCAAAAAACAAAAAAAAACATGTTGTGGGACAAAAGCAAAGAACCAAGATAAAACTTACAAACCAGCACCTGCACTTCCCATTTGAAGCCATATGGAGCCCATCCGAACACTGGTGCCCTTGATAACTTTTCACTCCTGCAATGGGTTAGTCAAGTAYTCTGTCTTGCCAACCCAATGGCATAGAAGGAGTCCCAAATAAAGAGGTGCTATAAGTCTGCTTGGAAAACTGTGTTTTAGAGTAGCTTCTGTAGAAATCATTATGTGCTTGCTAAGTGCTGTTAAAGGATGCAGCCTCCGGTAGACACCATTCAGCAAATTTAACTCGTGTAGCAGCTGCTCTGTTTTTAAATAACAGTTCTCTGTATGTGTTTTCTCAATTCTGTTTTCTTCAAACATTTGAGCACATGCTGCCTTTTTTTTCCCCATTTTTTTTTACTTGGGCCTTTAAAATGATAGAAAACAAAGTCAGCAAATACTTTAAACTATAGTGGCAACTCAAGAGGGGAGAAGGTGTGTCTTTTTACTTGGTATTTAAATGCAATCTAAAAAGGAGACACCTGTAACACATTTTTAGAAGCTAGTTCTCAACCTGTCTCCACATCCACCAGTGCTGCCCCATCTGTGAAATTCCTCTTGTCTCAAATATTATTAACCAGAGATTAAATAGCCAAAGTGAAAGAACTGGTTCGGGCAGTGAGTGGTGTGTAGTAACAACTACCAAACACATAAATTATCAACTTAGAGTTGTGCAGACTCACATACGRGATAAAGAAAGATCTAAACTTTAGTTCCTGGAGTTTAGGGGCAAAAAATTCCAACTGACTTTAGTAAGGATTTTCTCCRATTAAAGTACTGAATCAACAAGAGTACACTGAAATCCCACTGAAATCTGGTGTATTTAAATGCTTTGATGAATCAGGAGTAAGGAAATGAGTAACTGTAGGACCAGCTCAGAAGGGTCAGGACAGGAAGCTCTAAATTATGGAATTAATTTCTTTAATGTTATGCCATCTACCTATCTTAGTTTTATAATTCAACATTTCCAGTTTTAAGTTGTTAGTAATGTTAGGGATTCTTCGGTTAAATAGTGGCCTTGTTATACATGGCTGTCATTCACAAAGTTGTGAAGCAGACAGTGAGACACAGCACTCTTTCAAAAACAGTAATTTGTTTTCTTTAAAAAAAAGTTAAGGATTTCATCGTCTCAGGGAAGACGTTTTGAGGGTAGAAAGTATTTTTTTTTCTGCTACAAAATGAAGTCTTGTTATATAATTAAGCCATAAACAGTATCTCACTATTAAGCAATAGTGGTATCTCATTTTTTTATTGCCAGACTAATTTCCACTATTATTTGTTTTGCACATATTTACCTATATGTGATTTTAATTTAAAGAGTTTTACAGCACTGCGTAAAATGAGGCCTTTAAGTGCAAAGCAAACAAACCAGCCTATCCACGGCAAACAAAGATCAGACTACAGAGGAGCAGCCTGGTTGCACCTTTGCAACCTTTGAGTGCATCATTTTTAAGGCAAAGGTGACCTGGTGGCAGATTAGCAGCCCATTCCTGTTGGGGAGGGAGCAGGACCTGCAGAGCAACCCCTCCCTCCCTGCTGGCAGGAGTCCTCAGCATCCAGAGGAGTCAGCGAAGCTGCCTGAGTGAGCCCAACAGAGGAGGAAAAGGATAAATATCAGTGTATACTGGTGGCATAAGTTTGTGTTTATAGCCCTAAAAAACCTGTAGGGAAAAGATCTGATTGAGAGGAAATTAAGGTCGAGATCCTGCAGCCTTTCTATAGTGAGGACTAGAGCCCTCCAGAGTAGAAAGTATTAAATACTATGGTAAACACTTGCTCAAAAAAAAAAAAAAAAAAAAAAAAAAAAAAAATCAATAATAATGATAAAAGAGTGCAGACTCACAAGTTTACTAGAGAGATGGAAAGTTCAACTACAGAGTCAAACACCACAGAAGACAACTAAAAATATGTATAAATTAGCAAATAGGAAAGACTATGGTGTATCTGAGTTCCCGCTTTACCCCCATCCCTCTCTCCGAGAGTGCAGTCCTACAGCCAGGTCCCTGACCATGCTGGAGCTCTGGAGCCCTCAAACATGGGCAAGCACCAATGCCTTTTGCTTGTGGAGGAGAGGTTTTCTTTCTAAACATAGCRAAAAAGCTCGTGGTAGCCACTTTTGAACAGTGTTTTAGGTGACTAAAGTGCTAACCCAGCAAGAGCCTCTTTCAGCTTGAGAAAAGTCCAAGCTTGCATCTATTAAGCCTCAGTTCCTAGGGATGGTGTTATCTTCCTCAGATTAACCCAACCCTGTCCTAGCAAGCTCATTGGGAGCACAGTTTGAGGGCCCTGCAATGTGAAGGCAACACTTTTTCCTCCATCTCAGGGCTAGCTCTGCAGTGGTGTAACCTGGGCCTGACCACTGAAAGAAGAGGGAGGCAGAGCTGTGAGAAGCCTTGGTGGGAATCTCCTCCTCTTGGCGTGGGAGCTGCATTTCAGCTCCACCTTTGCCTGTGCTCCTTGCCTGAGTTACATGAATGGTACCTGCTCATAAACCTGCTTCAGCCTCCCTTGACTTCCCTGCTTGACCTCAGACCTGCCTCATCACCTCAGACTTGTCTGGCAGTCTGAACTCATAGGTAAAACTGGTCACCGTCACCAAACCTGCTCTGCTCTTCTGGCTCGTGTGTGGTGGGACTGCTCCTGCCAGCCTTGCTGTCACCATCAGGCCCCAGCTTGCCTCCCTTCGTGGAGCAGCTCACTCTTGTTGCTGTACAGCACACAATATGTGGTAAAAAAGGTGGCTTTTTATGTTAAATTTGTCTGTGGTGCCTGTTCCAGTTTAATCAGCTAGGTATATTTGAATGACTGTTCCATTAGTATAATTTRCTCCATGAAAAGTATTTAGACATATGTAATACAGAAAATATGTGAGACTAAATCCTGAAAGTGAGTTTAGACATCAAAGCATTACATTACAAAGCACACAAATAAGTATTCCTGCTTTTGCTTTTGTGCTTGCAATAGAAATGTGAGGTGCCTGAAAATGCTTAGTAAGAATAGAGTGAGGCCCAGGAAACCTGCTGTGTTTGATACTGTCCAGGAGGGAAATGAAGTGCGTCAAGGCACCTACATCTCATCTCACTTTCATAATACACCTAGTCCTTTGAATTTCACTGCCTAGACCTCTCCCTTGAGTGCTAGTGTCTACACAGACTTTTTCAAGGTTAGAGAGAATCTTTTTCAAGGTTAGATTATTATTTTTTTAGCCTATAGAGAAAGCAGTTACTTCGTTTCTTCAAGCAATACCTGCATTGTTCAGGCCCACATGCAGGAAGTGAGATGCCCATTTTCAGATCCATCCCATGCCTGAAGAATTCAGACCTATTCTGAATTCCTGCTTTCGAGGAATGCATGCCAAAAGCACACAGCTAACATACACAATGCTCATGAACAGTTTACATACCAAAGCTCACAGATGGATCATGGCAATTCTGTCTCCGAAACTGCTTCTTTATGTAGAAAATAACATTTTACTATGGTAATTAGAGKATATTAACATGAGTGTGTTCCTGTAACTTCTTGGTGTGAGGATTTAGGAGGGAGGGGACAGCACTGGGGCTTGTCTAAGTGCCAAAGACTGTTTATTACTTCTATCCACTGGCTGCATGACTAATATGAAATACTGAGGTGATCAGATTTAGGCATGCAGATTCTTCAGTAATATTATTTTAAACCTTTTTTACTGATTGTAACTCTAGGTTTTTTATTATTAGTTGTACAAAGGGAAGCAATTCTGTAACTGTATTGCTAGGTTCTGTTAGTCACCCAACAGAGTGTCTGCAGATGTATTAAGAATCAAATTTTGCCCAAGAGAGTGCTTTTGTCATCATTATTTTTGATGCTCATATCTCTGCTTTTGAGGTTATATCTATATTATATCTATATTTTGATTAAGTGTTGCATTCTCCTCAAAGCGTAACTGTTCATTTCAGATACATGAACATAGCAATACCAGACTAGGAGATGTGTGTTTTTATTTGGGCAGTGATCAGGGTATTTGTAGGAACAACCAAAGTTCTGGACAGTAGAGGCTTTATTGCWTTGCTCAAACTCAGTGTCTGCTGCCATTTGAAATGCCTTAGAGAACTCATACATCTTCATGGGGCTGTCAGGATACAAGACAGAAGGGAGGCCTGTGATCCTTCAGATCACAGGTGGCTGGAGGTCAAGTGGGCATCTCAAATGGCGCTAGACTTTGAAGCAACTGAGCTGAGACCTAGGGGTGTACTTCAGCTTTGGATACTTAATTTTAGGTRTCTGCATGTAGACTTTTACAGATAAGCTAAGCTTCTTTTAT